CAGAGCCCAAGCTTCAGCTGGCGCTGCGTGTTCAGCTCCTCCAGCTTCCACACTGGGCTCCTCAAACTCCGAGATGGGCAGAAGCATCATGATCCTGATTCTCATCTTCAAACACTAAATCCTGTGGTCTAGTCCTGTAAGCTCTAAAAATGTTAAAAACCACCTTAAACATCTGACTATCACTCAAACCCTTTCCCAGAAGGTCCACGACATGTTCCTTATATTGCTAAAAAGACTGATCTTCATATTTACTACATTTAAAAAGCACATGCTCTAGCTACTGTTTAAAAAAAAACATCACATTCATCACACACCATTTTCATGCTTCCCCATTAATGCAAGTGTTGAATTTAGTCCTGTGTGGCCCATCTTTAATCTAGAAATCATTACTTCTTCCTTTCTGTGTCTTCCATAAAACTGTTTCTTTTTTCCCTACTGATTTTACAATATTATAATACCACCTACCTGTGCTGCTATTTTCCCATCTTTGTTGCCATATTCTTATTATTTCCCTATTAATTACTGATTTTATCTCATTTCTTCCCAGAGGTATCTTAACATCCACCAAGCTTTTCTTTAATGCTTCTTTTGCTAACTTATCCACTGTTTCATTTCCTACACTCTAAAAAATGCTGGGTTAAATACAACCCAGTGCTGGGTAAAATAGGGACAAACCCAGCAATTGCGGTTGGGTTACTACCCAGAAGGTTGGGTTAAACATTTAACCCAACCGCTGGGTCAAAACAGCCCAATTGCTAGGTTTGTCCCTATTTTACCCAGCACTGGGTTGAATTTAACCCAGCATTTTTTAGAGTGTACTATCCCGATATGTGCCGGTGCCCAACAAAAGTATACCCTCTATTTTCAGTCTATACAGTAATGTATACATTTCTACTAGCAGGTCTTCTCTATCAGTTTTTGTCGACAATATACTTTTAAGAGCTGATTAATAATCTGAGCAAATTACTATCCTATTTGGCTTAATCTGTTCTACCCACTGCAATCCTACTATTATAGCAGTTAATTCTGTAGAATATACGGACAATTTGTCACTTAAAGGGGTCATATAATGCTACATGCACTTTTACAAGTTGTTTGAACTGAAATTTGTGTTGGCAGTGTGTGTACACAACCACCCTAAAATTATAGAAAAGTAATAAAAAAGTAATCAAATGTAATCAGTTAAATTACTTTAATAAAGTAATTGAAATAGTTACACTACTTATTACATTTTAAATAGGGTAACTTGTAATCTGTAACCTATTACATTTCCAAAGTAACCTTCCAAACACTGTTGAGCGTTTAGTGCAAACAATACAGGACAGTGAGAAAACATTCAGTGCAAACAATACAAGACGGTGGGGCAATAAATAGTGGCATTTCAACACCGACCAGTGCAGTAAATGTGTGATATCGCACATGAATTGACCATATAATAATAAACACCATACATGTAAACAGTTGTTGTGTAGAAGCGATAAATGGTGCAAAAAGTTATTTTTGCAATTTAAGCAAACATTGAATTTGTGTGTGTGTTCGTCTAGTCCCTTTGTATTGATAAGTCGAATGGAATGTGCAAAGAAACTGTGTTACACAGTCTGGCTGTGAGGACCCAAATGCTTCTGTAACCATTTCCAAATGTGATCAATCACAATGCTGATGACTTTGCAGATGCAGCGTGTTGTGTAAATGTCCATGATGGAAGGAAGAGTGACCCTGATGATGTTCTCCGCTGAAGGGTCTTGCATTCCGGGGCGGTGCAATTCGCAAACCAGGCAGTGATGCAGCTGCTCAGGATCCTCTCAATAGTCCCTCTGTAGAACGTGGTGAGGATGGGTGGTGGGAGCTGGGCTTTGCTCAGGTTTCTCAGGAAGCAGAGATGCTGCTAAGCTTTCTTTGTAATGGAGCTGGGGTTGAGAGACCAGTAAGGTTCGCCGCTAGGTGAACACCAAGGATTTTGGCGTTCTTGACGATCTCCACGTATGAGCTGTTGATGTTCAGCAGGGAGTGATCACACTGTGCCTTCCTGAAATCCACAGCCATCCCTTTTGTTTTGTCCACATTCAGAGACATGTTGTTGGTTTTGCACTAGTGCATTTAACCTTTGCACTTCCTCTCTGAATGCTGGCACGTCATTCTTACTGATGAGACCCACCGCTGTTGTGTCATCGGCGATCTTGATGATGTGATTCTGTGCATTGCTGCTTAAGAACACAGAGAATGAACATTTAATGTGCTACACAATGCTCCGAGACTAGAGGTTTAGGATCCAAATGCAGCATTTAATAAAGGGTAATCCAAAGACATAGTACAATAAACAGGCAAGAGGTCATAAACACAGGGTAAACAGTCCAACACAAAACACCAGGCAGGAAACTCAGGCAAACAGGGTATTCCAACAATCTCATTTCAACAATAGTTTCAGGAATATTCCATACCGATACCCTGTTTAATGGCATGTTGGGACAGATTACTTCATTCTCCAGACCACAATCCTTGACCCACTGTTCATACTTCCATCCAAAACGATTCCCTCCATTCTTTTTATATTCCCAACAATCATTTAAAATTGTGCGTGCAAGATGATACCCTGTGACTAGAGGTTTAGGATCCAAATGCAGCATTTAATAAAGGGTAATCCAAAGACATAGTACAATAAACAGGCAAGAGGTCATAAACACAGGGTAAACAGTCCAACACAAAACACCAGGCAGGAAACTCAGGCAAACAGGGAAATCCAGAAACCAGGCAGGGGTCAAAACCATGGAACAGATAATCAATTGACCGCTCAGAAAAGTAGTAGTAACACATACAAGACTTTGCAAAGAGTGACTGAAAACAGGGCTTAAATGTGGTGAGCAGACAGGGTTAACAAGACACAGGTGCAAAACAATGAGTGCTGATGAGTATGTGCAAAGGATTATGGGGAATGAAGTCCATGTTAGAAAGACAGTGTAAGAAATTAAAGTCTGCCTCGACCCAGCTTCCACTCCAAATTGTGTATTAAACTATGCTCCTTTCTCTACAAAGAGCTTAATTATCATATACCCATAGTCTATACTAGAACGTATTAAGGCTTGATATACATGTAACAGACAGCACTAAACCCCTAAATAAAGTGCACGTGTTTGAGCGTCAGTGTTGGGGAGTAACTAGTTACATGTAACGGAATTACGTAATTTAATTACAAAAT